GTGTCCCTCAGCGAGTTGTTGCTTATCAGCTGTGCGAGGAAAAGGGGACACGGTGGGTTTAAACACCACACCTTTGATCGAGCAAAGTTTTCAGATATTAGCACAATGTTCAAGAGTATACAGAAGAAGAAAAGGCAGCTCAGGAAGGATGAAAGGCAAGAATGGGGACCAGTTCCCCAGTACTCCCTATGAGGGGAAGGAGGACTCTGTCCTCCCTTGGAAGTGGTAGTGGAGGACACCTCTGCCCAGGACAGCACATAGGGTTTGATGGTGTGGGGAGAAGGAGGATTGTGACAAATGTAATACTGAGTAGATTGGGTTGTTATCAAGGGGTGAACTATGGGCATGGTCCTGAGGTTGGTGGTGTGTGCTGAGACCATAGCTCTTGGACATGAGTGCCTGTCCTGCATGGCACCAACCTCCCTTTGCAGTGCTTCCTCCTCAAGTAGGCAGCCAAGAAGTGCAGTAGGCAACGGGAAATCTTTGGAGGGGGTTAAGTCAAGCTGTGTTAAGAAAAAACCCATGATGCTGTGAAAATGCCCAGTATTTAATCCAGGGTTGGTATATATCCTCCCTGGTTTTAAAAAAATCTGCTAAAATTGAATACTGCTATGAAAGAAGTGCAGGAGATGCACCCACTCTGTGTGGGTGTTTCTGAGGGGAAGGTGGTGAAGAAAGCTGTTCCTTCTCTTCTTGATGAATCCTCTTCTGCACACTGCAAAGCTTGTGTAGTATGGGGTCTTTGGCATAGTTGGGCATTTCTGTGTTGAGTTTGTTTAGCAAAGTAGTGGTAGGGTTACTTTCCTGAGCCTCGCTGGTGGTGGAGGCAAAAGTTCACTTCACCTCAGATCTCATGTGTGACCTTGAGCAAATTAAAGCATAGCTCTGTAGTACGGTCAACACCAAGCCTTCATGCATTATAAATCAGTCCTATGAAAAAAAATAGATTGCCTAAACTATAATGAGATTTCTGAAAACAATGCCCTGGGGAGGATTTTTACTGGACTCTCATTTTTGCCTTGTAAGCAATATAAACGTCTTGTCTTTTCTCTTCCACGTTTTCCTAAGTCAATACAGAGATGCTCAGTCATGTGAACCAAGCTGTTGCTATAAGACTAAATTGCAGAAGTGGGCAGAAATATTGCAGCATACATCACATTGAAGAGCAATTGAAGTGAGCATTGAAGAACAGCGAAATGATGATGGGAAAAGAAGCCTATCAGCCTTACCCAAGTCTTGCAGAAGTCTCCACAACAATTTTAGGATTTAGAGCTTGTTTTAGTCTCATTGTTACAGTGTATATGTGTATTGTTGAGTCATTTTGGAGCAGATGGTTTCGTCCTGTCTGTCATTTGAAGTATTGACTGAGTTTTCAGGCTCTCTGCAAATAAATTCAACCTCCATGCTATATAAACTTTTGCAGGTTCCCACCCTTTTTCTTGTATTGAGCATAGTTGTGCATGGCTTTATGGATTTGTTTGCTTGAGTTTTTGAGCTACACTGGGAAAATTTTTAGAAATAGGTAAGGGATGCAGCACCATTAGTTTGCTTATGCTGGCTTGTTAGATCTCATTCTCCAGTGCCCTTATATCTGTGTCAAGTGACCACTGCTTGGTATTGTTCTGTTCTGTATGTCATGGCCCAAGTGCTTCACTCCCACAAGTAAAAAGCCAAAGTAACTCTATGGACTTCTGTGTAGAGACTTTGGATTTATGTTGGTGTTGATGAGGCCAAAGAGTGCACTTAGTGTAAAGGAGAAACATGCATTGGGAGGTAATGGAAAATCAGCTCCATCAT